GGAAAAAAATAAGAACCAAGATACATCATGTACAGGTACAAACACCCAATGATAAATGTAAATGAATTGTATACCTAAAACGTACCAATAAAATGTACCAATAAAATTAATTTAAAAAAAATAGTTATGCCTATTTTTGCTTCAATTCAGTAGAAAGAAAAAAGTGTGCTGATACACATTAACTAGGTCAATAACCAAGTTACTACATGATCCTTTACACACACATATGCACACACACATACACACAAACACACATGCAAATGTTAAGGAGAATGCTGAGCAACATATACCCTCATATTTCTGTGAGAGTAATGCCTTTTTAGAAAGTGACTTGGTAACATATGCTAACAATTTCAAAAAGGTTCATACAGTTGAACCTAGGAATATCCCATGGGTGTAATTAGACTCTGAAACAATGATCACATTAAAGATGTTTATCTCAGTATTATGCACCACAATGAAAATTAAAACTTGTCCTATATAAGCAAAACTGGACAACTACAAAATTGGAAAACAGCCATTTAAAGTGAAGAAGCTTTCATGATACACTACAATTAACTAAAAAGCATGATACTGAACAGTTTATACACTATGATGCTGATTTTGTTAAAAACAGAACCGTGTTTATAAGGAGAGGGAAAAAAACTAGAAGAAAATGCAATATTAATTGGTGGTTGATGGGATTAAGGAAGACTTGTGTGTTTCTGTTTTCCAAATTCTCAAATAAATATGGGTCACATTTCATCGGTTGATTTTCTCATTCACAATTATTCTTTCAAGAAAGCAATCTTTCAATTCACTACAAACACAGAAAACTTCTGATGAATCTCAAACCCATGGAGTTAAATTTGCATGAAAATCACATACCACATGTTTTATAAACTGGAAAATTATTCTTAGTAGTCACAGCAATTACAGAGTAACACAGGAAGGATTAAACAGCAGAAAAAAAGAGAAAAATGAACATGGTTTTGGGCCAAAGTCATGAAAGTAATAAACATGAAACACTGATACAGATGGGAAGTAAATCATGCATTTTTAACTCCTTTCTATCTCAGTACTCTAGAGAACTGTAATAATTTAAAACTTTTATTTGTTATTTTTACTTGATACCCTTATTCTGCCAGCTGATTTATGTATATAACCAATTTATCTATAGACCCTACAGACTCTCAGAACAAAAACAACTCCCTTGGTGTAAAAATGTATTATATCTCCTGAGTCAAAAGAATTTTAAAAATTGCTAACTGTACTAAACTTAACTGTCAAAATTTAACTTTTTACAAGCCAATGACTTTAAAAGTCTTGTTCTCCTTCCATCCACAATGAGGACCATACCTTTTGTAGGAGTTTTTAGTAAGTGTACATGAGCTCTGGGTACCAAAGTCTTCAAACATAAGGATCCTGAGCCATTCTGAAATGCCGGTTTTGGGGGCTTCTCCTCATACTTGATGACAGCAGCATTACCAGCTGTAACAAAACAGAAAAGTATACTTTATTTTATAAGTACAGTATTAGCTTCCATTCTTATTCCTTCTTCCGTGAATCAACAAGTGATTACTAAATACCTACAATATGCCAATCATTGCTGGGTGTTGGGAATACAAAGGTAGTTTGTATCTTTAGGGGTGCAAAGTAAATGCCATAACCATCATAATCATATATTCTGGTTTGTCTGGCATGATCCAAGTTTATGCATGTTTTAATCCCAAATAAAAGTTGGAAGATTAACTATATGGCCGTCTATGCTATGTAACAAGCATGTCCAAGGTGCAGAGAGGAGGAGGAGGAGCAGCATCCCATCTCCATGAGGCAGCCAGCAATACTAATGATGCAAGAGCTATAATGGACAAACTACCAAGTAGCTATAAGGATGAAATATAGGCCTGGTCCTTGGCTGCTACAAGAAGAAACTGGAATACTTTACAGATCTAGAGAAAACAATCCTAAAATTCATATGGAATCAGAAAAGACCCAGAGTAGCAAAAGTAATCTGGGGCAATAAGAGGAAAGCAGGCAGCATAGCAATACAAATACAATGCAATAGTGATTAAAAAAAAGGCATGGTACTAGGACAAAAACTGATACATGGATCAATGGAACAGAACTGACAAGAGACATATTCAACTATATGATCTTTGATAAAGGGGCCAAAAGCATATGTTGGGAGAAAGACAGCATATTCAACAAGTGGTGCTGGGAAAACCTGTTATCTTTTGCAGAAGAATGAAAGTGGACTCTTATCTCTCACTATATACTAAATTAAAAATCTAAACATTAAACCTTCTGGAAGATAAAATAAGTAAAACATCTGAAGACTTAGGTGTGGTGTAGGAAAGGATTTCCTAAACAGAACCCCAATTCCACAAGAAATAGCAGCAAAAACCAATAAATGGGATTATGTCAGACTTAAAAGCTTCTATACCGCAAAAGAATCAATCAGTAGAGTGAAGAGACAGCCTACAGAATGAGAAAAAATTTTGATAGCTATTCCTCAGATAGAAGACTAATGTCTAGAGTACACAAAGAACTCAAAAAAATTAAACCATCCAAAATTAAAGATTCAGTTAAGAGATGGGCAGGAGAAATGAACAGACACTTCACAGAGGAAGAAAGACAAATGGTCAACAGATAGATGAAAAAATGCTTAACATCTCTGGCCATTAGAGAGGCACAAATTACAAACAATGCTAAGATTCCAACTTAATCTGAAAGAAGGCTATCATTAGGAAATCAAACAATAATAAATTTTGGCATGGTTGTTGTGAAAAAGGAACCTTCTGGCATTGTTGGTAATGTAATCTAGTATGATATCATGGAAATCAGGATGGAGATTTCTCAAAGAACTGAAATTACAAATTCCATAGGACTCAGCTAACCTCCTGCTAGGTATCTTCCCCAAAGAGCTTGAGACATCACACTACAGTGATACTTGCATACCAATGTTTACAGTAGCACAATTTGTAATAGCTAAATTCTGGAAGCAGCCCATATACTCATTAACATATGACTGGATAAAGAAAATGTGGTATCTATATATAATGGAATACTACTCAGCTATAAAGAATGACACATTTGAGACATTTGTAAGACAATGGATACTCCTGGAAAATATGTTGAGTGAAATAAACAAGACACTCAACCTTAAATACTGTATGTTATCTCTCATTTGGATGAAGCAAAGTACAAACAAAGAAAATGAGGAGCCAGGGATTTAGCTCAGTGGCACTATATTTGCCTTACAAGCACAAGGTTCTGAATTTGATTGCCCATACAAGAAAAAAAAAAGAAAAAGAAACAAGATGAGAAAGGATGTATAGAAAGGGACAAAGGGCAGGGAATTTAGCTCAGTGGTTCCACAGCCTGCCTTGCAAGCGCAAGGTCCCGAGTTCGATCCCTGGTACAAAAAAAAAAAAAAAGAAAGGGACAAAGGGATGGCTCTTTTGCAATAGGGAAGTGGTCCAAAGGAACAAGTGCAAGGGGTGAGGAAGAGGGAATGGGAAAGTAAAAAGAATAAAGATCTTCCATGTACAGGAACCTACTAACCCCAATTAAATACTATAAACCATAACATGAGCTAAGACAAATTATATCAACAAGCATGAAAAAGGGGACAGGAGAACCAGAGAGGGAGGGGGAGGAAAAGGGAAAGGGATAAAAAAACAAACAAACAAACAAACAGAAACAAGCTATAGTATATACATGTAACCATTCCCAAAATGGTTGTAAACTGTATGAATTAAAAACATGTACTAATAGACATTTCTTGCTCGGTTACTAGGGAGACACGGAAGTGACCAAAAGCCAACCCTTAAAACTATTGTTAAGAAGAAGGGCTCAACCATCCAGGCTGGGCTCAAGCTTGCCATCCTCCTGCCTCAGACTCCCAGAGTGCGGCCATTACAGGCATGCATCACCATACCCTGCTTATTTTTTCTTTAGGTTGGGAATCACCCCGATGCAGACAGGCAGGTCTGCCCACGCCCTACTGAGGTCCCCAGTCACACAGAACATGCCAAATCAGCCCCCTGCAGACAGGCAGGCCTGTGCACGCCCTACCAAGGTCCCGAGTCACGCGGAAGATGCCAAATCACCCCGCTGCAGACAGGCAGCCACCTGGTTACACACTACAAAGACGAAGAGGACACCAGACCACCAGACCAAGGTACTGAGTCCCGCTGCTCCTGGCCCAGAGGAAGGGGCTTCTGAGCCGTCGTCCAACTGCTCCTGGTCCAGAGGAAGGGGTTTCCCGGTCACCATCCCTCCCGCTGCTCCCAGCCCAGAGGAAAGGGCTTTTGGGCCACCTTCTGTCCCGCTGCTCCTGGTCCAGAGGAAGGGTCTTCCGG